ACTTTGGGTTTTGTACATAACCAAAAGAAAACAGGGAAGAAGAAGAAGAGATTGGATTTCTACCCTGCCCTTAACTACCCAAAGGTTTCTCAGAGCGGCTTACAAACTCCTTTCCCTTCCCCTCCCCACAACAGACGCCCTGTGAGGTAGGTGGGGCTGAGAGAGCGCTTGACAGAAACTGCTCTTTTTCAAGAACAGCTCTTATCAGAACTATGGCTTGCCCAAGGTCATCCAGTCAGGTGCAAGTGGAGGAGTGGGGAATCAAACCCAGTTCTCCCAGATTAGAGTCTGCGCACTTAACCACTACACCAAACTAGAGTGAAAAAAGGAAACCAACCCCAAATGGCCTGACATGGGTTGAGCATGTTCCAAGAGGCACAGAAGACTGAGAGTGCCTTTTTTTACCAGAAGCACTACTCCTAAAAAATTTGGTGAGATCCACAGGGCAATAAGAGTAAGACTGATCTGATCCACACTTTGTTAGCCATTGCCAGAAGTACCGTAGGCGCGGCATGGCTAGAGACAAACTTCCCCCCCATGATTCAATCCTGGCAAAAGCATATGTTCCTTATGTCCAAAATATCACTTAGCCCACTCAATCTTTCCTCCAGCAAATCTGAAGAAAAATTTATAGCATCCTGGTATCCACTCATTAACTATATGGTTGAATCTGATGTAATTCCAGCAAATCCTTTATACGAATCAATGATATACTTTTTAAACTTGAACCTGAAACATGATTTGGCTTCGACCTAAGATAATATCTGAACTTACTTTCAGAACACTTGATTTAAAATTTGCCTGCAAAGATATGCATTTATTATACGATTGTTGCCATAAGAGATGTTTTGTAGTGTGTTAATACAGTTCTCTGGCGTCTTCAGCCTGGACATAGGCTGAGTTCAGACTGGCATTTGGCACGATATAGGCATGTTTCACAAACGGATTAAAGGGGCCGGTTCACACAGGCACAGCTGTCAGGCATTCCCCAGCCGTACTCAGCCCGTCTTGTAACACTTCCCTCCTGAGTTTAAAAAATACCAGATGAAAGTGGTAGCAAACCCTGGAGAGCGCGTTGATCCTGCTTCCCAGACGTGTGCACGCAAACAAGCCGCATTGCCGCGCCTATGCGCATAGGCGCATGTCGCCGGAGTGAAAAAAAGCCACTTACAGCCGTGCCTCTGTTGGGGCGGGCCAACAGTGCGAGCCCTCCCTTGCGCCTCCTCTGCGGTATACCCCCGCATCAGTCGGTGCAGTGTGACCGGGAATACCCAGAACACGTTGTTCCGGATCTTTTTTTGCCACGACTCCCTCGCGCTTCAAACGGCCAGTCTGAACTCAGCCATAGTTAAGCATTAATGTTTTTTCTAACCTATTCTTGTACTTCATCTGCAGACAGCTATTGTGCTTACCTTGTATTGTTATTAAATTCTTAAATAAAAATCATAACTAGATAAGAAGAGAAGAAGAAGAGAAGAGATTGTTTGGTGTAGTGGTTAAGTGTGCGGACTCTAATCTGGGAGAACCGGGTTTGATTCCCCACTCCTCCACTTGCACCTGCTGGTGTGACCTTGGGTCAGTTACAAGCTCTGGCACAGCTGTCCTTGAAAAAGAGCAGTTTGTGTCAGAGCTCTCAGCCCC